TGCTGAATGATCCCGAAGCTAATGGCTTTGATTCTGTTAAGGTGGTGGCAACTCCTGCTGCTGCTCCTCCCCAGCCTGCTGTTCCTTCTACTGCAGCAGTCCCCACAGCTGGGCCACCTCCCCGGAAAGGAAGGATCCTGGTTAGTCCCCTGGCAAAGAAAATGGCAGCAGAAAAAGGAATTGACCTTGCCCAAGTGAAAGGTAGGTTGCTGTTCTGCTTCCTTGCTCCCACTATCAAGCGTCTGTCCCTCTAGGTACATACTTGCCTGTTCTTTTCTTTCATCCCTGTCAGAGACTTGCTGACTGTGCAGCTGTCCTCACCAGTGCATGTGTTAAGTGATTTACCTCTGTTGAATAAAACTGGTGCCTTTAGAAGCGATGCCCTGTTGCAAATAATTGAAATCCTCTTTGTTTTCCTTTGACCCTTTTAGGTACTGGACCAGATGGTAGAATCACAAAGAAAGATGTGGAGTCATTTGTGCCACCAAAGGCTGCTCCAGTGAGTAGGCTCGAGGTCTGCAAGAATAGATATTTTATTATAGTGATGGAAATGCTCTGGAGAAATGCAGTAACTGTATGGAACTGGTATTGCTGGATTGGTTATGATGCTATGCGGGCTGTGGTGACTGTTAGGTTGTAAAGCTTAGCCTGTCATAAACACAGTTTTTCTTCATTTATTTGTGCTTTTGGTATTTCACTGAGGGGGGGAAAAAAAAGTGTGCTCCCAACCCTTAATTTGGTTGCTACGTTGTTATGGATTGAGGTGAACTCACTCCCTGCTGATTCAACATTGCTGAAATGAGGCAATGAGAATGAAAACCAGACTTAGGAACCAACAGCCTGTCCCCAGGTCTGTTCTTACACCATTGCTTGTCATTTATATGAGACAATGAAAGTGTTGCTTTGTGTGCTGCTGGGAGGGATGTGGCCAAGCGCAGTTTGAGAGTGCCCTCCAGCACACCCCTCTGCTGGATGTAAACCAACCATCTATCGGGGCTTCCTACTCTGGGGGCTTCGTAGCAGCGTGTATCAGTGTTGTATTTCTAACTCATTCAGTGTAATCATTGAATATAGGAATTCTGAGGAATCTGTTGGGTACTGGAGAGGTGAGGTTAGAGAGTAGAAACACCTGCTGCTCTTAAGGCAGAGACACCTCAGTCTCAGCACTCGTCCCACATACTGAATTATTCTGTACAGTTTGGATAGTGCTATGAATTGTGCTGCCTTTCTCTGATTGCAGGCTCCAGCACCAGAGGCAGTTCCTGCAGCTGCTGCAGTTGCAGCAGCACCAGTGGGGACCTTCACAGATATCCCTATCAGCAACATTCGGAGGGTGAGAAGACTTGATTCCTTTCAGAGGTCATTATTTGCAGTCATGAGCTCTCCAAATGGATTTATTTTCGTTGCTTTCGTTGTATACCTGCAGGTCATTGCTCAGCGGCTGATGCAGTCTAAACAAACAATACCTCACTATTACCTTTCTGTTGATGTAAACATGGGAGAAGTACTGGTGCTAAGGAAAGAACTCAATCAGGTAAAGCATTTAGGCATGGTGAGAATGTGTGTGTGGGGAAAGCTGCATTTTCTCACAGGTTTGTCCACCCTGCTTACTGTTGATAGTGCCATTTTGGCTTGAAAAAAATTAGTCTTTTTCAGTGCCATTTCTACCTGTTGTAGATCAGTTCTGGACTGTCTGTGACAGAGTAAGACTTGTTACCCATGCACGGATTTCTGACTTCCCTAAGAGGGCCACTTTGTGCTCTGCTTGGTGGTGTTTGATTCTTCCAGCTGGAAAGTAGGGCAAAAGGGTAAAAAGGTTTTTAAGGATAAAAAGGGTAGAAATTCGAGCAAAATAATAACTTTTAACCCAAGTTTGGGGAAAAACAGACATTAAAAAAGATTGGGCCACCTTAAATTATGAAGGAGGTGTATTCATGCACTTCAAATATTGATGCTTACAAGTAGTGGGATTGTTTTCTAATGTTTTCTCTAAACAAGGCTGCACCGCAGCGATATCCAAACTGATGCCTCAAATCTCTATTTACAGGAGGTCTCGGATAACGTTAAGCTTTCTGTCAATGACTTCATAATTAAAGCTTCTGCTCTGGCATGCTTGAAGGTGCCTGAGGCAAATTCTTCATGGATGGACACAGTTATTAGGCAGTAAGTTTATGGTACGGTCGAAGCCAGAAACTTTCTTTGTTCATGGCTAAATAGCAGACCTGGGATTTGAGGAGGGAGGGGAACAGGTATAATGCAAAGGTTGATGAGTTTTCATTAAAGTGCTAAGAACTTTGCATGTAAGGCTAGTGTGCAAGATGAAATAACTGTTGCAGATTTAATTTAGAGTTGTCTGAACAGCGCTGAAAATTTTTTTCTTTGTTATCTTGCTAAATTAACTGGCATCTCCCTTGTGTCTTGCAGAAATCACGTAGTGGATGTTAGTGTTGCAGTTAGCACTCCTGCAGGGCTTATAACCCCTATTGTGTTTAATGCCCACATCAAGGGCCTGGCTTCCATTAGTAAGGATGTGGTTTCTTTGGCAACTAAAGCCCGAGAAGGTAAACTTCAGCCTCATGAATTCCAGGTGAGAAACTCGGATTGCTGTTAAACACTGCTGCCCTTGACTTCTGTTCAGAAGCCCTGCTCAGAATGAGCAAAGCCTGTTTTGTGATGTTTCAGCCATCTTCGTTAATATTCCACGTGAAACAGCTTCTGTGAATTTGACTATGAGTGTGTTTTTCTTGCAGGGTGGTACTTTCACAATTTCCAATTTAGGAATGTATGGGATTAAGAATTTCTCTGCCATAATCAATCCACCTCAAGCCTGCATCCTCGCAGTTGGTTCCTCAGAGAAAAGGCTAGTGCCAGCTGATAATGAGAAAGGGCAAGTATTCATCTGATTCTGCATATACTGAGCTTCTGAATTCAAACTTTGAAATAATGGCTAGTTTTCTAACACTTCTATTAGATTATAATTTAAAACCCAAAACGAATTATTGACATACTGCTTTCAGTACCTTCTGAAGAAGTGCAGTGAGATCTTGTATAAAAGGGTCACACGGGTGTTAAACACAGTGCCTAGGAATGATCTGCCGTAGATTTATTCTTGCACCTTCTTTGCAAGTTAATTAAATGCTGTTTCTTTCTTTAAGGGTTAAACTTTGGAAAAGGGTGTGGGATCCACAACAGTTTACACACCTGTTCTTCTTTAACGACTTGCTTAAATTTGCATTTAAGGAAAACCTAAGGGATGGATTATAATGCAAGTGTCCTGTGTGCAATATCACTGTGTTTGGAGCTTGAGTTAGCACAGACCCAGGAGCACGTTTAGGATTATTTGAACTTGTTAACAGTCCTAGATGTCTATCACTGATACATGGGGAAACTGGAGGTTGCTGGTTAAAATGGCTCTTTCTTTGATCGTGTTGCACTCTTCTTGTGATCCAAAGGAAGAGGAGCTTCCTGTCATAAAAAGGGAACATAAAAATGTGGTTCTTAATTGTAGAAAAGGAATGAATATGATCTGCTGTCTAGTGTAATCTTTTTTAAAAGTCCACAGGGAGAAACCTCTGTTACTAGCACCAACTCCTATTGCTGGTTCTCTGATAAAAGCTTTTTTGCTTTGTTAGTGGCACTGACTTGCAGAGGATTGTGTTAACATTTGTAATTTTTAAATTTTTTTTTCACAGATTTGATGTGGCTAGTGTGATGTCTGTTACACTGAGCTGTGACCATCGTGTTGTAGATGGAGCAGTTGGAGCACAGTGGCTTGCTGAGTTCAAGAATTTCCTTGAAAAGCCAGTAACCATGCTGCTATAATTTAACTATGCAAGCAAAATTTTCCTGGGTCACACTGTTTTGTTTTAAACAAGCTATTTAGACTTTAGTGTTCAGACTTATTAAAAGAGTTCCTTTTTTATTTTAAATATGTATTATATTATCTGGTAATGTTATTACCAGTATGTACAGAAAAAAGTTTGCAAAAGTGCTTTTCGGAGCAATACTATAGCTATACTGTATTTTTATACAGTTAACTTGCAAACTCTTCCAAAACAGAGTTAAGCATCCCAGATTTAAAAATGATGCAGGCAGTACACATACTGCCATCTGCTTCTAAACTAGGATGAACAGGGGGGTACATACCAAGCAATTTCATGACCTCAGTGTTCTCAGAAATTTGAATTCTAAACATCTCTTCCCAGGAGTTCAGATGAGATGGTAACTGAAACGTACAAGTTAGTAGAAGGTGAATTCCCTCATTATCCTGTTCTCCTGCTGGGGTGGGTGAGTGTGACAGAGGCACTAAGGGACTGAAGCGCCTGGGAATAGTTTCTCAAAGGCCAAGTGCTTGCATTCCAAATCTCCCTTGGAATTTGGCACTGGTCTGGACCTTCTCAGCTATGTGATCCCATTTGAGCACTTTAAGGTGAAAGAGCACTGCTGTCTGTGGGATCACAGCTCTCAGATGCCACAGGGAATGTGCTGTCTTCTCGTGGACTTTCACTTACGTGTGCTTTTTGTATGAAAACTCTTTAATTGCTATTCCTCGCGCTAAGACTACGATGACATGGAAGTAACTGTTTTGCAGAACGTTCAAGAGAATCTGTGTGTTGGAACCCAATATAGGCAAATCACACATGCTGATAATCCCATCAGTGGATATTAATCATGTGATGACTCGAATGTTTGGAATTATTTTTTTCAAGCATTCTAACATAGGACACTAGTCATTGGTACTGTGGTTCTTCCCTGAATTGTCTATGTTGTCCCAGCCTCAGTGAGCTGCAGAATGTGCTACCCATGTATATATTGTATGTAAAATGCTTCAGTAGTTTGTTGGACTTGTGTCCAGTTACCCCAGTCATTGTATCCTGAAAGGGGTGCAGTGCTGAACGTTCTTAAATTCCACTTTCCACATGGAAATGTCAATGTAAAAAGGACGACTGTGTAGTTACTACAGAGTGACCAGGATAATTAAATAGGGGGGGAAAAGTTTAAAAAAAAAAAAAGAAGTTAAAGTCATCTGTTATTCTGTATATTGCATCAAGTACTGTTTCCTGTAAAGTTCTACAAAATTCACTAAAGATGTTAAAAGAAAATACTGTGGAAATTAAATATTTTTGTGGGAACTATTTAATGTCCGGTTGCTGTGATACCTGGTTTTCATGTCTGGCTTAAGCAAAAAAAAAAAAAAAAAAAATTCATGATCTTAAAGTATCTTGGTTCCAGACCTGCTCTAGTGAACCTACATTCTATTAAATGTTTGGAATTGACAACTACTAAAACACGTTCTGGTGCTTTTCTGTTCAGTTGTGTGTGGCTTTACTGTACTGCTGTAGCACAGTCAGAGCTGTTCAGCCTCTCAGTCTGAGAGTGAAACTCACCCTATTAACTTTAAATTGTCATCACAGATGTTCCAAAATAATACATGCTTTATTACGGTCATGCAGCAGCAAACTTTAATCTTCCTGGCTTCCTTGCTGCAGTTTTCACTAGAACCTCGAAATTCTGGCTACGGAGACCTTTCACTTTCCTCCTGCAGTGAGAACACGAAATAGTTCATGTTGTGGAAACACTCTGTGAGTGACTGTCAGACTGGAACACTTGCACTATGTAGGTTTTTTTGAGTTGTGTGTGCTTGGAGTGCTGAGGGTGACTCCTGGTGCAACAGGACAGCTTGTGCACTGCTGCAGTTTCAGCTTGGACTTGCAACTGAACAGTATTTCAACGCAACAATCTAAGTTTCTTTGAAAGAAAGAAGGGGGAAAACTGGGAGTACTTACTCGTTTGTAAACCTGTATTTTAAAGTTGCAGCTCAAAACCTATTTATCTTGCCGTTTCTGATCTGGTATCAGTACAGAAACGTGATTGTAGTGCAAATGTGTCATGGAAGCCATAAGAATGACCCTACTATTAAACCAGTCATGAAACGAAGATCACTTAAAACTTTTGTCCCCTTCTCAATTAATTCTAGTAATGCTTACTAATCATTGAAGTAATTTTGTGTTGCTTTGTATTCCTTTGTGGTTTGTGTATCTGTGTAAACTAACACAGATGGTTTTCCTAGTTGAAGTGCTGCTCCAAGACTGGTTTTGGTTGCTAGCTTCATGCCGAGGGTTCCTGAGCTTTGAATCTCTCTGTGCTGTTTTGAGTAGTACAGAGTAAGCCTGTTTTATGGTCTCATTCAGAGCTTACCAAACTGGTAAGAAGTGAGGTGAAGCGTATTTAGTGACTGAAAAGACCACAAAGCCTACTCCAGGTAAGATCAGCAGGAATTGTCCTAAAGAGAACAGCAGCAGCGTGCAGGGCAGCTGGTAGAACTCTCTATGACACCTCTGCTGCTTGTTCTGGCATTAAATAATGTGAGAGCTGTTCTAATCATGGGATCTAGTAACCAATTATTTAGCAAAACGACTTCACAACTGTTCCTGCTATACCTTAAGGCAAAATCAATGATGTAGTAAAGCATGTATGCATTTATGGTTCTTTGCTACAACTGTTAACATACTCAGGTACTCCCTGAATATTTACAATCTTTACTTATTTTTTCCCCAAGTTGGGTGGTCCTAGTGTTCCTCTACATGCATCTTCTAAAGGCATTTAAGGTATTCACCACTGAAGATTAGAAGGTCATTAAAAAAAATACCAACCTCATCACCACCTAAAAATTAAGGATTCACATTCGAAGCTTTTGTGCTCTCAGCTGTGATCATGACCTGGAGAGAAGGCAGGCTTTAAAGATCTCTTGGCAACTAGCACTGTGATAAACAATACCCGTTTTCCTTTGTTAAATACTGCTGTAGCTGTTTCTTCATCCACCACTTCTGGCAGATCTAGTTGTAATTTGTATTTTTCAGGGACTTCAATAATTACGTCGTCCTAAATCAAGAAAATTAAAATACTGATTAACTACTTGACAACAGATTAGCAGTAAGCGTTTCTAGGAATTCAATACTAGACAGAAAACACAAGGTTATTCTTTCTGCTGTCTTACCTTTGAAATTCTCAGATCACACTCAGAAACAGAGCTAACCTTAGGCAATTCAATTCTGAGTTCAATTTTGAGTGGGTTTTTGTTTGCATCTTTCACAGTGATCATTTCATAGACAGGAGCACTTGGCTTCTCTGCGATTTCAGTACTGGTAATCTCCTCTATCAGATGCGCTTTAGACTGTGTCACACTTTCTTCCTTCAGGAGCACGGGAGCGTTGCTGCAGTCCTCGGCTTCCAGAGTGTGCAGCAGCTGATCAAGTGTCAGTTCTTTCAAGAAAAATAAGTTTTTCACACATATCACTCAGTTACTAAGATCTGTAATGTTATGCCACTTGACAAACGTATCATGAAAGTTTTAACTGTAATTAGCAGTTTTGTCAGCTGAAGACACTGGCAGTTTCTCCTTCAGCCATGATTTGGTTTTATTGCCAACAGGTTAAAGGTTTTTGACTACTAGTTACAGCAGCAATCCCTTTTACTCAGGTTAGAGCGAAAGAAACTTAGCGCCTCAAAGGAACAAACCCAAGTGGAGTTCCCATGTCTAGTGGATATAAGAAAAAGGGAATTTGCTGTTTCAGTGTCCTTACAGTTTCTCAGCTGTAAAACAGATGAACACAGGTAGGCCAGCAGGGTTAAACTAAAGTCTGGTCTGAATCCTACTGCCTTATGCTGAACTCTTAGAGAAGCATTTGGTTTATGCTTATGGCAAGGATTGGGGTTAGAGAGATGAAGCCTGAATAAATGTTGGAGAATCTGAAAGAAAAAGGACAGCAGATCTCTACATACCCGTCTTTGTGCTCTGACTGAAACGTGGAGTTGGCATCTGCTGTCCCGTCAGACGTTGCTGCATCTTTTCCAGGCTTCCCTTCAATTTGAATGATTCAACGGTGTACAGATAAGAAAGGACAAGTTTGCATCGCTCCTCAACAAATCTAAGGGTCAAGTGGATCAAGTGCTGCATTTTTTCTGGGTTTTCTTCTGCCCTCTGGAGAACATCTGGGTTATATGCAATATCTATAATGCTGTAGATGTCTATAAAAAAAAAAGTTATGTGTCAGAATTAGTGCTACGGTACCATATGCTGACATTCTTTATAATCACTTGATTTATTATAAAAGCAAAGGAGATGAATCTGTGGCTTCTGGGCAGAGTTTATCAACCTCACCCAGAGGTGGGACCCCTCCGTGTGCCCATCCCGCAGCCCGCGTTCAAGGAGGAGCACGGCAACAAGTTAACGGGCGCGACTGTGAGACTCCCGGTGCCGGAGCACTTCTCGGGATTTCGGCGCGTCCCATTTTTGTGCTTCCCCAGTTTTTCTCGCGAAGGCCGGACTCGTCTCGAGTCCCCGCTGGGGCACGCCCGGCCTTGCCCCGCGCCCCCCCGCGCTCAGAGCAGCCCCGGCCCAGCC